CATTCTTTTTAGTTCGTATTTTCAAATATTTAATACAAGCTCTGCACACAACATAAACCTTTTAAATATAAAGTTAGAGCTACATTTCAATAAAAATATATTTAGTATGGTGTTTTAGGTTAAAATTGTCATAGGAAAAAAAAAGTTAAAAAAAATAAAATGAATGGAAAAAAACGATCACTTTTGAAAAGTACATTGGCCAAAACTAAAAATTATAGGGACCAACCTCTTGGTTGGAGGTATATGACAATTATCGCTGAGCTATGCTCGCCTTGACGACATATCTATAGTTTTGTTAAATGATTAATTAAAATTAATGAATTTTGTGGACTAAAATTTAATCTAGGTCCTATTGGAAATTTTTTAAGAAGTCTAGTGCTAGTTCTACTGCCCTGATAACCGGGAAGAGCCTTAGACTTCCGCCGGAGTTCCCGCAGGGACAGGCCAAACCAACCCAGGAACTTCACCAGCAAATTCCACATGTTGACCCACCGCCCCCTTGTCCTGGAGGATCTCCGGCCGGGGAGGGGGTGGCACTTCACTCGCCGCCAATGCGGAAGGATGCCGCCGAAAAGAATGGAACGCTGCTTCTCTCTGCTGGATGCGTCAGATTTAATTAAATCAAATTGTTACGTTCAAAGATATAATTTTGATGGTAGTTAAATAATAATCTTATTAAAAATTTTTAGTATTACAAATGTGAGAATGAACCTGCTTTTGACTCTAAGTTATGTTTACGTTGACAATAAAAAAATTTGTTATATATATTATTTATTTATTCATTCAATAACAGGGAGGATGTAACACTTTTTTTTATAAAGTAATAATTGAACGACAAAAATATGATAGACCCGTCTAGAGAGTCCAAAATTAGAAGCTTTGCGGTGGTTTTCGAAAGTCATTCTTCACTCCACACCCCTTCTGATAGTATTCCACAACTTTCCTTGCGAGCGAATGAGCAACTATATTTCTTTATACTTCAGTGAAGCGTTAAGTGATTCATTGTACGCATATTTTAAATGTTTATGCTCAATTTTGTCAAGAACCAAAGGTCGACCTCTTCACATTCGGACAAGTTAGGAAGACCTAAGCAATGCTATAGAATACTATCGGACAAGATAGGAACGCATGACCTATGTATATAAGGAATAAACACTATGAAGCTCAAGTCAGTTGATGTCGAATTGAGTAAGTCAACCTTAGACAAAGGGGGGCAAATTCGTTTTATAAGCGGATGAAGCATTGCAAATCCGTTATGGCGATTCTGACAAGCAGTTACGAAATGTTAGGCCATAGGTCGACAATGACACAGTTCAGAAGTATGTCTTTGTGAAGATTATTATTGTTTCTCTCGAGCTTCATAAGTTGGCCTATAATATAGATCAAGATGTATGTATACTTTGTTTTACGATAGATACTCATATTTTACCCTCCTATAGATATATAAACTTAGAATATCTAAACCAATTGCTTTGCTAAGCCTAATTCTACCCTTTCTTTCTTAGTTTTTAAAATTTTGAGTTCAGTACTTGTACTATTTATAAATAATGATTTATCTATAGTATTAATTCAGGCAATTACATCTTAAAAGTTAAAACTATATTTTATATATAAAAAATAATAATAATAAAGATAGGCAGTTGGATTTGAACAAGTGTAAATGTGTAACGTAGCCAACTTTTTGGCTGGCAAGCAATTGAAATTTGAAACTCTGTATTTTTTATAATATTTTTGGAAATAAAATACTTATTTTATTTTTTAAATTACTTGATAATAATCGTGGTCGTGGGTGCACGTCTCGAGGACATTAATCCATGGTTGCTAACCGCGGTGGTCGACGGACTCGGAGGGCGGCGCGTGGTGGCGCGTGGTGGCGAGTGGAAACTGGGTCGCATCCAAACATGTGTAAAGACGGTAGTAGCCCCACGTGGGCGTCGAACATGCTTGTACTGGTCAAGTCACATCTGCCCCTCGAGGTCCTACGTGTAAAGTGCACGATGCCGGACCCACCAATCACATGGTTCTCGGAACCTCACTTCCGGCGTCTCTCTCCGCCGCGCGTCTCTTCAAAAAATGGTCTAGACAAAAATTAGGTTCAAATAATATTTTGACGGTGTTTTAGTAATTTTAAAATTTTCATTTGTGCGTTTAATTTTTATTTATTCTACGTATTATATTTTTAAAAATATTTATTTTGCTTTCTATACTTTGAAAAGTTATCAATTTCGTCGTTCTATTTAAAAAACATTAATACAAATGGTATAAACATTATAAAATTTTTAATATAAATTTATGATTATATTTCAAGAAATTTAGTGGGTGATGTGTCATACTAAAAATTTTACTAAAATAATTGAGATACAATCAAAATGATTGTTTTTTAAAAATACAATGACCAAAACGAACGTTTCAAAAGTATACGGACTAAAATGAACAAAAGTTGAAAGTACATAAACTAAAATTTACGTCTTGAAAATCCGTTGACCAAAATAGTATTTAAATCTAAAAATTACTTTTCAAACCCTAAAATTTACTATGGTTTATTTCACTACTTAACCCTTTAAATGAAAATAAAAACTGAATTGAAAAAAACTATAATTTAATAACTTGTATAATTAAATCAGATGTTAATTGTTACAATTTTAGTTATAAACTATAATTTGTTATTGATTGACATCTATATGATCTATAAAAAGATATCCATATATATCTCCATATCCATACATTTTTTGTTTTATCAAAAAAAATATATATAATACTTTTTTTTTTTGTTAAAAATAGGCATCGTTTTGATTTCATTGCTTCTTCAAGCTCATAGTCCTATAAGGTTAAAGACAGAAATAAGTACGAGGGCAAGTATAAAATTTTCTCTAGTTTGTTTGTTTGTTTTTTTGTTTTTCTTTTTTTCCCTCCCTTCTTTCTTTCTTTATTTCTCTTACGAGATAAAAAAAAAATTTATTATTATTATTATTATTATTATTTGATTGTTTAGTGTTCATGTTGTTATATTAGGATTTCAAAAGAAAAAAAAAGTTGACCCTACTTGAATGAAAAACTCACCAACCCATGAAAAAAATAATGTTTTTATTTAAACGTCACACCAATATCATGTCATTTCAATTTTTAACAATGTTTAGTAAGGACAAAAAAATGGTTGAATACTTTTGTATTTTAAAGAATAAATTTTAAATTTTAAAAATAACTAAATTGAAAAAGCAATAAAAAAAAACAAAGCTATTCCTCACTGTATTTATTTATTTATTATTATTATTTTAGTAAAATATACGAAGGTGAGGATTCTAGATGTCTTAATTAGTTGAACTGTTTTTTTTTTTTTTTGAACAATAATGTAAAATCTCTTTGTAATTTATTTGATAGTGAAAATTCAATTATTAAAGTAGGATCATTTAACACGTGAACTAATGGTTGGATATTAATACTAATCTAAGTATAATCCAAATAGCTAAATATCAATATCTTTTCTTACAAGCAGAAAGTTCCAATTACCTCAGCAATACCATTTTCTAAGTTTGTTCAATTATAAGTTTAAGTGTTTAAACTTTCAATATTTGATTTATTAGGTCCACAACTTTAAAAAGTGTAATAAATTTGTAGACTTCCAATCATGTATTTAATAAGTCTTTTAGACTTTCAATTGTGTGTCAATAGATAAATTACTTTACCATAATTTTTTAAGGCTTCGTGTATTTATTTGACATTAATTGAAAGGTCATTGACTCATTATACAATTTTTAAAGTTTAAAATATACATTAACATATGTTAATATATTAAAAATCATAACATTTTTTTAAAGTCCATCAAACATGTTAAACATAAAAACCTTTTAAGTTTAGGAACCAAACCTAGTATAGAGACGATTGCACGTAAGCTAACAACATTTGTAAATATGACACACCTAAGCTAACAACATTTGTAAATATGACACTAACTTTTTATTAAAACTCAACGTATCTCAACTTCACAGACGCCTACTGTACAGAGTTACTATTTTTGCAAAATCTCATTATTTGTGGTATTTACAAATATATCAAAGTTACTCGACACTTAGGAAGACGTCAATACATCGATGTCGATGGAAATGTTGATGCATCAATTGATGAAGACGTCGATGAAAATATCAATAAAATGTAGTTATCTGTAGATAAGTGAAAATGTCTTATTAATGTTATGTTTACATTAGTAGTATTTAAAATTGTTATGTTTATTTGTCAAAATTGCTTACAATATTATAGAAGTGTCGATCAGTTGATATCGAATCTATGATCTATAAAAACATCAATATAAATATCAGACGAAAACTAGGGTTCGTTTAGTAACATTCTTCTTTATTATCCCTGTTTTTTCATTCTTAATAAAGAAAAATGAAATGTACGGCTCAAACATCCAAAAATTCAAGTATGATAAAACAATATTTTTATTTATGTTTTGGATCAAATTGAAAATGGAAAAAAAAAAGAAAAAACTTATTTTCGTTGTTTCTAAAAAACCTTACAACTTTGAGAATGTTTCCAAAAAATGAAAATGACTAAACGTAGTTAGTTGTAAAATGCTTAACTTTCTTAAGAAAATTGGAAAGGAGAAACAAAAAACGGAAACATCACCTAACGAACCCAAAATTAGTTGCAAAATATTTTAATTTATTGATAGAATTGAAAACGAAAAACAAAAAACGAAAATGTGAACCAACGGTCCTTTTGAAGTTTATCACGTTGAAAAAAGAAAAAAGAGAATACTAAAAATTATAATTAATGAAACGTCTTGTCGTCTGCGGATGGGGCTATCGTCGTATCAGTGGCCGCTGTTATTCCCGCTAAATTTCAGATTTTATTTTCCAAAGTCCCCTATCTCCTCCCGATTTCAAATACCACCCCCGACCGTCCGCCACGTCACCCTCTTTAAATATATACAAAATATTTCCACCCAATAATAATAAAAAATTAAAATTAAAATTAAAAAAATATCACCTCTCTCTCTCTCTCTCTCTCTCTCTCTCTCTCTCTATTCTCTCCCTCTCTCTGCAACTCTCTTTGTCTTAAAGAAGACGAAACATCTCCAACTTCCTCTCTCTCTAAAGTCCGCCATGGGAGTTAGCTTAAAGCGTTGAAGCAAATTATTAGAGCTTAGAAAAAAGAGAAGGAGAAGCAAAAAACAAATAAAGAAATTCTCGATGTTCTTCGCTTTTGCGTGTGGAACCATGTGAGTTCTCTGACACATTTTTTTTTTCCCTTCTCTTCTGATTCTTATTCTCGGTTTGATTTGATTTGATTTGCATTTTGCTTTCAGAGTCGTCACTGACTCGTTCGGTTCACTCTATGGCATCGTCCTCCCGAGCGCGGAGTAGGTCGCCGTTTTCTCATCGGAAATCTGCTGCTTCTCCTTACTCTTCAACTCCATCGCCTACTTCGAACGGGAGGATGGTTCCTCGATCCTGCTCGACTTCTGCGTCGTCGCATTATAGTATGGGAGGTGGATTCGGTTCTCGATCTATGACTCATAGCCGGGGGGTTTCGGATTCAGTGCAATACGGAGCTGGAGGTTATGGTGATTGCTCGCCGGTTGGATTCATTTCTGATGACCTGATTGCTGAGCCTGTAGATGAGATGAGGAACGGGGATAGCATTTCGGTGACAATTCGATTTCGGCCGTTGAGGTAAAGTGGAGATCGGAGAGTGTTGAATCAGATCCGTGATTCGTTTTAGCGTTGTTGTTTTTGCGATTGCTTAAGTGTTTGGGGGCTAAAACTTGTGATTGCAGCGAGAGGGAGTTTCTGAAAGGGGATGAAATTGCTTGGTATGCGGACGGGGACAAGATCGTGCGCAATGAGTATAATCCAGCAACGGCCTACGGATTTGGTACTCATTTTTAGAATTTGTATTTTTGAATTTTGAACTTGTGCTGGTGCGGTTATGGTGAGAGGATAGGAATGCTATTTTGCATTAGAGCATCAGCAATGTACGTTTTCGTGTTTCTCTGTGACAGATAGGGTGTTCGGACCAGATACGATTTCACCGGAGGTGTATGAAGTTGCGGCTAAACCTGTCGTCAAGGCTGCCATGGAAGGTGTTAATGGTGCGTAACGCCTCCTAGAATTCGCCGAGTCAAGACATTATTTTGAACTAAACAACATAATAATTCGAAGTGGAGTTGGAGTTTTTATGTTAGATAATGAAAGAATTATTACTTGGGAGTTTTGGATTTAACTGTTCTGTATAGTTGAATTAGGCTGATTGAGATACTACTGGGTATGTAGGAGGGAAATTTAGTTAAATCTAAAAATAGAAGGATCTTAGCACCTATTTTCTGATATGCAGGAACTGTCTTTGCTTATGGTGTGACGAGCAGTGGGAAGACGCACACTATGCATGTAAGTATGATGCTTCGGCATTATGCCTAAATCTTTTTGAGAGTTGTAGAGCGTCTTAATAAAATATTCAACATTTTGAATTCTTATTATGTTTAAACATTACTTTTGAAGACTGGTATTAAGTTGAAAACATCAATGACTCATGAGTCTGTTAATTGCAATTATTATGTTTAGTTACCCCAGTTACCATGGACTGTTTAATAGGAACCAGATTATATTTGTCCAGATTGTATTAACTACCCACTAACGGCTTAAGCTTTAGCAACCAGATTATAACTGGTATATCTACCTCCTTATTAGAGCCATGTTCAAAGTTTTAATTATTACGTGGCCTTGCAAATTATTCTTTGGACATACAAAATCTTTGCAATTATAACCTGTAAACTTAACTTTTTGAAGTTGCCTTCAATTATTAATATATTATCCATCAAGTCGGGTTTTTTCCTCCTTTGTTTTCTTCCCTACATGTACCCCCCGCTTTTCTTTTTATGTATACTAGCATACTAGAAACTCGATACATCAATCATCACATTGGGGTAAATTTTCACACAGTGAAGTGACCAGAGGGCCATCAAGTTTTGGTCTCTCTTGTTGAATCAACTCTAGCATTCAATTTTCAACCTTAGTTTATGGCCACCTACAGTTAATTTATCATTGTTAATTGGCTTTGATGGCTAATGGCACATATATTAGGGTCGTCTCTTCATTTGTTCAGCTGGATATTATAAGGACTTGTCAAAAGTGAGTAGTAGCACTATCTGACATTCATGTCAAGCAACTATGAATCGTGAAGCAAGTGCCATTGGCGTATTTTATTTTAGAGCTCAATATATCCATTTCTTTTTGAAACTAGAGGTATGTATTAGATCTGAGACTTGATCAACAGAAAGAGATGAGTTTTCTTGAGATGCATTCTAATGCTATTTTGCCTGATTTTTATCATGGCATTGTTATGGGATTATTCTATAACAGAGTACCTTTCCCTTACTTCACATCTGCCTTTTCTTATCATTATATTTTCCACAGTGTTATCTTTTTGATATGTTTTCACACGTTTGTAACGTTATTGATTTCCTTGTCTTATATGTTTTCACAGGGAGATCAAAATTCTCCAGGTATCATACCATTGGCTATAAAAGATGTTTTTAGCATCATTCAAGATGTAAGTATCCAGGCATAATTTTAAAGTGCAAGACATTGAATAGTATTCTCTAGTCCTTTGTCTTGTGAATGCCATCATCTTAATTTCTGGTTCTCTTTATTGCTTTACAATTTCTTCAAGAAACGCTTGCTATTTGATGTCTTGAGTGCAGTTACAATTGTTCTTTAAGACGCTTAACATCATTTGAGTTCTAACTGTTTCAAGGTCAATGTTATAATTTTTATAATTACTCTTTTTATTCTCTGGTGTAACAAAAAGTTAAGCTTTTATTCAAATTTCAAGAGACTTTGGTTTGCTTTATCTACTCTCGCAATTACTTGATACATGTTCTCACTCTACAGTTATATGTAGTTTATCATCTGTACGTATTGGTGGTAGCTGGGTAGGGGCCGATTGTGAAAAGCGGTAGGCTCGTGAGGGCATTTGGTTGTGACTCTTCAATGATGAGTTCTAGCCAAGTCTTATAGATACTTTTTTCAAGCAGTTTTTCAGAGGGGAAACTGAAAAAACAAAAAATACGTGTGTCAAATATAATTGTTTCTTTTTCCTTGTTTTACATCTTGTATGTTTTAAAAATGAAAAAGGCTTAGGAGAGGGGGGCAGTGTGGGATGAGGCCGTTCCATAGTTTTCGGCAGTTACTTTTGTGGGGTGGGCTAAATCAGGCGTAAGTCATTCTGAGTAAGCATCGGATTTTGCTCCCAAGGAAGGACTTATTTCTTTATCCGAAATAATAACAAATAGACAATTGCTATTTTTGTACAATCTGTCATTTGAATAATGCTATTAACAATTACTATTATCTTAATGAATAAATTATTGAACCCTGTAGATAAAATATTAAACAAACCATCTTATTTCACTGATGAAATATGCAAAATGACTGGTTAAATTAGCATTATATCAAGTCAAGAATCAAGTAAACAATTAAATTGGAGCAACCTTTTTGGTAATCTGATAGACTAAGTATTGTATTATATTTTACAGATTTTGTTCAGTGATTATTGGATTCAAATTTTTGTATAAGGTTGAATAACTATTGGAATTTATTAAGTGATTTTTGCTATTTACATAAAATATGAAGAAAAGATTGCAATATGAAAAATTATTGTTTGAATTTTGCAGTATGGTAATCGCCCTTTCTTTATTAGCTTCTTTTCCTTCCTTGCTTCTGCATATTATCAGATTATATTTATTTTTTGCAAATTCTATAATCCTGTTTTATTCCATTTCTTGAGTATTCGACCATTTAGACGAGTAATTGGTTTTCTGTGTAGACTCCTGGAAGGGAATTCTTGCTTCGTGTATCTTACCTTGAAATATACAATGAAGTAAGTAACTCTATACTGAGAAGTTTCAGAGCTTCAGTGATCAAATCGTAACAAGATTGTTATTTATCGTTAGACTTACGGCCAAGTTCCGTTGGTGGTTGGAAATCTAGTTTATTGCCTATATTTGACAGTCAAAGGATATACTGTTTTTATATGGATCCTCTGAGTACAATTTCTGGCATCCTAAATGTTCAGCCACCAACTGCTAAATGGTAAATTCTAGTTTTTTGTAGTTGTTGGACTGATGATCATATTTGGATTGATAATACCAGGTGATAAACGACTTGCTGGATCCAACAGGTCAGAATTTGCGTGTCAGGGAAGATGCACAGGTGTTTTTTCATTCGTCCTTGTAGTCATTATCTTGTAAACTGTTCTTCTTTTGGTATATCTGTATGTTATATACTGCTGTGGTCAATTAGGGCACTTATGTTGAGGGTATAAAGGAAGAAGTGGTTTTGTCTCCTGGACACGCTTTATCATTTATAGCTGCTGGTGAAGGTATTTATTGAGAACTTCTGCTTCCATGCCGTTTCTTTTCCCATTGCGCCCTTTTATGCGTATGTATGGTTTATGGCTAAAGGTCTTAAATGGCAGAGCATCGTCACGTTGGATCAAATAACTTCAATCTTTTTAGTAGCCGGAGCCACACCATCTTTACACTGGTAAAACTAAAGACATCGTTTTTTGTGTGCATCCAATTTCCTGCTCTTAATTTCATTTTCTGGCCATGATTTTATTTTCTATTTCAGGATGCCTGCTGCAATTTCGAGATCACCTCTTCATGTTACCAATTGAGAACTTTTTGGAAATGCATTTAAAAACTCCAAACTTACAGTCCCTGTAATAGTAATTCTATAGGAATCTTGGGCCCTTTCCTCCAATTTTTAACAAACATATTTGTGTGCTTGGAACCGGTTGAGGGAATCCAAGTTCATGTTTATTTACGAATAGATACATAGATACATACATGGATATTCAGTATATATGCACATACATATGCCCACATATATGGTTTATGTATGTATATGTATCAGTACATAAATATATTCATGGAAACATCAATGCCTACATGACCAATTACATACATTTAATAGACACATGCAGGCATAGAGGTGCAAGTGTGCATGCTAATCAGATTGTGGTTGCTTTCACTCTCTTGTGCATTTTTTTCGTCTTTCTGTCTCTCTAAACTAAGACGGCGGTATGCACTTGCAGATGATTGAAAGCAGTGCACACGGTGATGAGTATGATGGCGTCATCTTCTCTCAACTTGTAAGATTGGACTTGTTTCATTCTATTATATATGATGCTATTAAACTTGAATGCACCATTCTCATTAATATTAACACCATGATACAGAATTTGATTGATTTAGCTGGGTCAGAGAGCTCGAAGACTGAAACTACTGGACTGAGGAGAAAGGAAGGATCCTATATAAACAAAAGCCTTTTGACTCTCGGAACCGTAGGCGTCTTTTTTGTGGCTTTTGTGTGTTGCTTAAATATTTTTGCGCTCTTTTTTTCCCCCAACAAATATAATTGTACAAGTAGGATCTATGTCATCCTGCTATAGGCAGCCAAGTTTTGCTTCACTATCTATAATCCTTGTGATTTTACATGAATTTTGTGTATAGTATCTCATCAGTTTTATCAATCCATATATTGCAGTGGGAGAGTGATAAATAATGAAATGCCAATAAATAAGTTTAATTTTCATATATTTAAAGAGAATGTTCGTACTTCTGTGATATTGGTTTCCCTTATGTAGGGGATACCTCAACATGGAAGTAATTTATATATTTGGTTGCACTGTGAAGGTTATTGGGAAATTAAGCGAGGGAAAGGCATCCCATGTTCCTTATCGAGATTCAAAGCTTACCCGTCTTCTACAATCTTCACTCAGTGGGCATGGGCACGTTTCAGTGAGTATATGACTCAAAAGCAGCATTTTTGTAGTCCATGCTTCTTATTAATATAACTTTTTTTGAGTACTCATAAACAGAACTTATAGATGCAGCATTTTTACTTGTTATCATCTGCTTTCCTTTCCATTAATAATTATGCAATAAAATCTGAAAACTTCCTTCTGAGTTAATATAAAAATTATCTCCAGCTTATATGCACAGTAACTCCTGCATCCAGTAACATGGAGGAAACTCACAATACATTGAAGTTTGCAAGCAGGGCCAAACGAGTTGAAATCTATGCATCTCGCAATAAGGTTGATTGAAGTTTCCTTGTGTGTGAAGTTAGAAGAAAACTTTTGTTGATCACATGAGCATTTACACTTTTCTTAATTCTTCTTTATTTTATCTTCAGATTATCGATGAAAAATCTTTGATAAAGAAGTATCAGAGAGAAATCTCAAACCTCAAGCAAGAGCTTGATCAGTTGAAGAGGGGAATGCTTGCTGGTGTTAATCACGAGGAGATAATGAATTTAAGGCAGCAGGTCTGTTTTTTTATCACTCTTGTTTGACGGCACAATTACTACTTCAGAATACTATTTCACTCTGTCCATTCTTGTATCATTATATAGTTGGAAGCAGGTCAAGTGAAAATGCAATCGAGATTGGAAGAGGAAGAAGAAGCTAAGGTTGCTCTCATGAGTAGGATTCAGAGGCTGACCAAACTCATACTTGTCTCATCTAAGAATTCTATTCCTGGATGTTTGAGTGACATTCCCAGTCATCAGAGGAACCAATCTTCTTTTGATGATGTAAGTTTTCCTTCTTTGCTTTCTTCAACATATGTATGCACATTCACGTCTTTTCTTGTGATTGTCATTGCCATCACAATCATGTATAACATGCTAATATAGTGCTTAGAAGATAAAAGATGAGCACTCTCATCGTAGATTTCCTTGCTCTGCACAAGAAACAATTTATAATCAGTGACGGGAAATCCATGCTTGTTCTTCCTCCTCATATTTTTGCAACGGCAACTACTATTATTACTTGGATAAGATTGCAATGCAGATTATTAGTTGCCTTGCTAGTGTAGGATAAAAACCATGTTCAATTAGGTAGTTATTGCTACGTTTCATACATCTAACAGAAGGAAGAAAATGCCAGCTTACTTCTGTTACATACCTGAAATTTTTGTCACGGGGCTTTCTCCTTTTTCTTCTTTTTCCTTTCTTTCTTTCTATCTCTATTCCTATGTGACTGGATTTTTGAGTTTTTAGTAGTTTGAGAAGAATAAATATGTTGCTCATTTTTCAATTTTTATTTTCAGAAGTTTGAGGTCTCCCAAGAGTTGCTTACTGAAAGTGAGAATCAAAATGATCCATCTTCTGCCTTAATTGTTCACCCAGATGTTTCTTTAAGCCAATTGAACGGTGAACCCTTACCAGCTGGTTCTGCAATCACCGGATCAACTAACGTGGGTGAACTTATTGGAGGCTTTAAACTCGTGTGTTCTATTGATATTGAGTTTTCTTTTTTACAAATTTAATAATGAATGTCGTACAGAAAGCTTATTGAAAATTTTAATTCCTATATTATTCTAAATTATATCTCGCTATGGGGGAGCTCAACTCACAAGGCTTTTTGCTGGTTTTTTGAAATTTTTATTTTTGTTCTGTATTACAGTTTTCCACGGAAGGTTTTTAAAATGATTGTTTTTGTTGTACTGTAGGGAGAGATGACAATGTCAGATCAGATGGATCTGCTGGTTGAGCAAGTCAAAATGCTTGCTGGAGAGATTGCGTTTAAAACCAGCACACTGAAACGCTTGGTTGAGCAGTCTGTTGATGATCCTGACGGCTCTAAAGTTCAAGTATAGTTTATCTTGAGTTTTCTTGCTTTGCTACATCTTTATTGGCACCAGAAGTGGACATAAAAATGTTGCTTGCTTCAAGTAAGCGGGCTTCTAAGCCAATATTTTAATCAAGTCTATGTGCCTTCGTTCAGATCCAGGACTTGGAACATGAAATTCAAGAAAAGAGAAGGCAAATGAGGGCTTTGGAGCAACGCATTGTTGAAGGTGGAGAGGCTTCAATTTCTAGTGCATCAATGGTTGAAATGCAGCAGGTGCTGCTTCATGGAACTTATCGATTTACCCTCAAGTATTTCAGCTTATTTTTTCCATTAAAAAATGTAATTATTATTTCTTCTGCTTTTGTACTGTTGCAGGCTGTTACAAGATTAACGACACAATGCAGCGAAAAGGATTTTGAGCTAGAGGTAAGTTTTCTGAGTCATATTAATTGAAGGACTTTGATTCAATGTTATTCAACTGGGGTTGAAAGGTTGATTTATTTAGAAAATGGTGATAGATGCTGCTGGTCCAATATATCATTATTTAAGATTTAGGAGCAGACACGCCCTGTAATTGCAAGATTTCTTTTCTATTTACTTTCTTCTCTTGATTCAGATCAAAACAGCAGATAATCGCGTCCTTCAAGAGCAATTGCAGAATAAGGTTTGTTGCCACCTCTCTTTGCTCTATATTATGTGCATTCTTTCCACAATATCCCTGTAGTAGAAAATTCATCGAGCAATTGTACTGTATTAACAAGCTTCCTACTCATTCTTCCCCCTTTATTTTGATTTGGAACATCACTTGCATCCATATTTGTCTGTTGGCAGTGTGCAGAGAACAAAGAATTACAGGAGAAAGTGGAACTCTTGGAGCAGCAGTTGGCTTCGGTTACTAGCAATAATTTGCCAACTTCATCTGAACATTCTCTACCAGAAAAATATATTGAAGAGTTGAAAAAGAAAATTCAATCTCAGGTGAGGCTTTCCTTTTTTGGTTGATTAATCTTATGGATTTGTCAATACTGGTTCTTGATATTTCATTCTATATGGCCTAACTGTCATAATTGGATGCGTCTCATTAATAGTTTATATGGATGGCTGTTTTTTGTATGCTTCTTTACTAGAAGACTCTACTTGTTTATTCTGGTTCTTTGTTTCTGTAGTCTATGATAAACAATAACGTATTCCAAATTTTATATGCATATTTGATGTTTTCTATAACTTGGCAATGGCTGTGCGATCGGTTATCTGAAGCTTGTTTTTTTAAGCAGGAGATTGAGAATGAGACATTGAAATTGGAATCAGTTCACTTTTCAGAAGAGATCAGTGGGTTGCATGTACAGAATCAAAAATTGGCAGAAGAAGCTTCATATGCGAAGGAGCTGGCCTCTGCTGCTGCCGTCGAGTTGAAAAATTTAGCAGCTGAAGTCACCAAGCTCTCCTTACTGAATGCAAAATTAGAAAAGGAGTTATTGGGTGCTCGAGAATTGTCCCATTGTAAAAATACTCAGAATAATTACAGTGGAAATCGCAAGTATAATGATGCTTTGAGACCTGGAAGGAAGGGAAGGCTCTCTGGCCGGTCTAATGAAGTTTCAGGAGCAACCAGTGATGATTTCGAGTCTTGGAATCTCGACCCGGACGATTTCAAAATGGAACTTCAAGCAAGGAAACAAAGAGAGGAAGTCCTTGAGGCTGCTTTAGTTGAAAAGGAGCTTTTGGAAGATGAATACCGCAAGAAAATGGAAGAGGCAAAGAAAAGGGAGGCAGCTCTTGAAAATGATTTAGCAAACATGTGGGTACTGGTTGCTAAGTTGAAGAAAGAGGGTGGAGGTGGAGCAATTTCAGATGTTAAAACTGATGCAAGGCAGAATTCTGGAATGGAAAATATTATGGATACAAAGACAAATGATGATGAAACAGTAACCGTCTCTAAAGACACCGATCCCGTCGATGATTCGGAAAAAACTGAGGAAACTCCTCAGGAAGAACCATTGGTTGTTCGCCTAAAGGTATGAAATTTCATTACAAAAGATCATTGAAATACACACATGCTCTCTTTTCTTCTTGAAAAGATTTTCAACTTCAGGATTACAGCATGTTTTGATTATTGCCAACCTTCACAGAAATTCGTTTTGTTCATACACTTTTCAGGCACGAATGCAAGAGATGAAGGAAAAGGATCTCAAGTGCCTAGGAAATGTAGATACAAATTCCCATATGTGTAAAGTTTGTTTTGAATTGCCAACTGCAGCAATTCTCCTTCCATGCCGGCATTTTTGTTGTAAGTCTCCTTGAACCTTCTAAAAATTCCTGCATTTTCGCCTCCTGATTGTTCTAATTTTCGCCTCTCGAAAATTGCAGTGTGTAAATCCTGTTCACTAGCCTGTTCCGAGTGCCCAATCTGTCGTACAAAGATTGTAGATAGGCTCTTTGCATTTACTTCTTGACATGTTCCATGTCCCTTCTCCACAAGGTAATCCATACTTTCCCGTCTCCTATTTCATCAATCACACCACAACCGCAATCTGCATTGCCCGTCGTGATCGAAACCTCGTCCATCTCGCTCGTTACCGCTTTACTGTACTGTCAAATGTGCAAAAACCTAGTTTACTTCCTTCAGTTTTATCATGTACTGGCAGGGACTTGATATTCAACTACTACCTGCAATTTTCCAGCGTTGGAGGACGAGATTCTTTTATTAGTTTTGCATGTATGCAACAACTGTACAAAAAGGTACATAATTATTTATTGTGTTCAAATCAAATCTCTGAGAGCTGTAAAATAAATACTAGAAAAAGGATATGATTGAATTAGTTTAACAACTTCATCTCACTACAACATGGAAACTGAAAGCTTTTAATTTTTACTTAGTTCACTTTAAACTTTGAATTTAAATATGCAATTTACTTCCCTCTAGACATCACATCAGTAATTCATTCACATTGCTCGTAGAATCGTTCCTAAAAGTGACCATGGAGAGAGACCTTCAAAGGGTCGTCTAATTGATAAGGGATTAAGTCTTTTGGTTATATTGACTTAAATGTTTCAAGTTCGAACCTTCTATTGAGCTTAATACCAAAATTCCTTGATATCTTCTAGTTTTGGGTGCGGTTGTCTATACCGTCTCTGGGTATAGGAGAGTAAAACTCTAAGTCTCAATTATTACAAAAAGAAAAAAGAAAAAAAAAAGTGGTCATGGTGAGATTTGGAAAGGGACTTTTGTTTTCTTGCGTGATATAAGCAAACAGCTGAATATTTGTGAGTGCTGTAAAACGATGTCGTTTAATACCGACCGTAGATTTAGAACCTCTAGAGAGAGAGGAAATTTAAGGAATCAAGAACATAGGGTTACAGCTTGCAGGAATCTTGTTGGGAATTTCTTGGTTAAAGAAACATTAAATGCAACTTAATGGCTGCCTCTGTCCTTTTGTATTTTCTGATCAATGAGGAAGACAGGGCAGAAAGATACTGATTGGTAAAGGGTCTGATACTAATGGGATTAGATTTTTTGTATAGTCTGTGTTTGTTTTTCCCAGAAAGATTTATTTATTGGTGACAATCCCATCCACGCTAACCTAGTCTAATTTCATTTCGCATACATTTTCGGTCCATCGGTGCACCAAAAGTAGTTTAATCGATCAAGGTATTATTTACTTTTTTTCAAATCTCTATATACTTAATTTACTATTATTTTTTATCGAAATATAAAGTAAACTTAAAATAGGATATCAATATATTCCTTTGGAGGTAAGTAGTTAGCTTGTTCATTTGTCTTTGATTTACTAGAATTACTAGAATGGTTCTTTTTTGGACCCTGAACTTTTAAAATATTTATTTGAAATTTGAAACTTTCATCTCACTATCTTAACCAACTTATGTGTTTGAAGTTATGTCGTCTATTTGTTGGATGCAGGTTGAATAAAAACGAAAGCTAAAATATATAAAATTTTATGAACTAAAATAAGGCAAACTTTAAAACTTCAGTAAAAAAGTTTTTCTTTAGTTTTCCCGATTGGGTCTGTCTCTCACTTCTCGTTGCCATTTTAGCCCCGACATAACCTCCAATTTATTGTTTACTAAAATGGTTATTTCCTTAGCCCTTGCATTCAATTTCCATGAAACTTTGTTTCCTCTCTTTCATTTTGGTTTGAACTATGCGAAAGGGAGAAAAGGATTGGGGTTTGAAATTATAGATGGAACTATTAAGTTGGAAGAGAACAATTATTGTGTTTGGTTGGTAAAAGAATTTTGAGCAATCATTATAAAGTTGCTCCATTGGGTTTCTCAATTGTAACATTCAAAAATGGGAAATATTTATGGTGCAACAATATATGGCAACTACCATTTTCTACCACATGGCTCATCTTTATAATTTCATGAGAAAAATTCCCCTTTTACTTCCCTTTTTAGCTTGGCAAGTAAATTTCATTAAATTTAATCTTAAATTTGAACAAGTGATCCTGCATTGAATTAGAAAAAATTCCCTTGACCAATTAACGAACCACAGTTTTCAGTGACCAAAGTACTCCGAAATTTAAGTAATGAAAAATATGCCATAAAAATATACTCCCAAAATGAAGCACCACAAAAATACTAAAATTTTCAAATCCACAAGAAAATATCAAACGCAGCTAGAAAAACGGTTCAATTCAATGAAATTGAGAGCTTAAGATTAAACTTTTGATCAGGATGTAAACTTTATTTTCCTAAATATGGATATTTGTCATAAATTGTAATATACTTCAATTAGTCAAGTCATTAATTACCTTCCTATTCGGAAGTTTCGATCACCACCCATGATTGAACGAAAAAAAAAAAAGAATTAAAAGAGTAAGAGTAGGCTGATTTGCTCAGTTGCCAAATTAAACCAAACAACCAAAGGGGTTTTGATTCCATTTTGTCATCAGAACCAGTTAGAGATTTGAGCAAAGGAACGCCCGTACAAAATATGCAAATCAGCAGCAGCGAACAAACAAAAAGTTAGTTTCTGTTTGTTCCTTTTTATTTTACCAGAATTGTTTCACTTTCAGAGCCGAAGCTGCTGATGATCTGATCACCCACCCCCATTTTTTCACGTCTACAAGTTTTCCTGGAGATTCCTACCCCATTCCAAGACCTAGTTTGAGAAATTTTACCTGAAAATTCCAGTGTGTTGCCAAATCTGGTGGTGCCCAATGATTCGTGTTGGTCCTCTAGATTTTGATTCTCAAATGCCACAATTTCGCTGTTAAACTGTACCAATCCAGAGTAGGAACCATTAGAATGAGAGTAGAAGAAGAAGAAATCTGAAGCAAAAAGTACTCTCACTCAACACAGAGGGTGTACTGCAAACCTTACAGAAACGATTGGCGGCGGCCGCGGAAGGATCGAGAAATTCCTCCACGCACCATCCCGGTAGTGTCTCCAGATACTCCGATATGCTGCTCGTCGAGAGCGAACCGCCGTCGCTCGCTTGGCCGTCTTCGGCCTTGTAATTACTTGTCGACGGAGCTGCTTTTTCAGCGGAATGAGAGCTGGAGATTTCTTTCGTGGCCGTTTTAGGCCTCTTGCTGCAAGCGTGGGAGCTTCCAGTTTTAACATCCATGCCGGCATCACAGCCATCGGAGGAGGAAGATGTTTGGTACGAAAAACAAGTCGGAGAAAGCTTCACACCTGTGAGAAGAAATCTGCTGTGCTTCTGCGTATGTTCGTTCGCTTCATGAATTGAAATGTCGCATTCTCTGCAAAGAATCGCCCTATCTTGTTGACAGAATACGAGCGCGCGCCGTTCCTGCAAACGGAAATAATCAAAAATCAATTTCACTACAAATCTTCTCCTTCTCACTCCGCATCACCGATCGTCAATCGCAAAAACTCAACAGCCGAAGAACGAGATGAGAAACGGACAAAAGAAAGTAGATATTTCCGAGAAAGATACAAAATCGCAAAGATTCTCTGCAACATTCGTCCAGCTCGACAGTAACCGAAAAATCGGGAATCAAGTCGCACAGGACACTTCCAGAACTGAAATAAAAAAAAAAAATTACCTGACAGATATCGCAGATAGGAGATTCCGTTACGATCGGCTGAAGCAGCGAAAATCGGGAGTGCTTGCCGGCGAGCTTGTTCGCCTGGTGGACCTGGAGATCGCAGCCATGGCAGAGAGCGGCTTCATCGGCGGAGCAGAATACAGCGGCTTCCGCTTTATCACAGACATCGCAACGGATCTTCATGATCTTGCGGCTGAATTTCTCGTCCCTCTGCCTTTTCACTATCTGAAAATTCCGAGGCGAAAGAGAGGCGAATTTAAGGCGAAGGAATGGAGACAAAGTATTATGGGCTCTCCGCCATTACTGGACAAGACAACAGCTAAGATTGAAGCTCTTTATTGTTCTCTGACATTTTAAGAAAAAGCTCTAGAAAAATCGGCCATGGCCATGGCCCCCCCTCCCTCTTTCTCTCTCTTCTTTCTCTCTCTACTGTGAATTAAAGAGGAAGGAGAAGTGGTGGGCCCCATCACCCCAACTTGGCTGCCTTTTCTCAGCTGCTTCTGCTTCTAATATTATTATTATTGTTGTTGTTATTATTATTTATTTCTATTATGATTTGAAATTAAATGCTATAAGAAAAAGAAAAATGTGTCGTTTTTTTAGATCTTTGTGTATCTAAATGAAAAGAGTTGGCGCCGACCTGAGTAAACGTCAACAACTACTCATACATTTCAATTTTTTTTTAGTGAAAGAAATGGAGAGGAACTTTAGTAAAACGGATTTAAAAAATTAAGCCCAATGTTAAAATCCTACGTTTGAAATATTATTTTGGTCTATATATTTTTTATTTTGTTTTATTTTATCATCGTATTTTTAGGTATAGATTATTTTGGTCATTTCATTTCATTTAATTTTTATTTCATGACAATTCATTGATGAATTTTTTTGAGATGTAGTAATAAATTTATATTAAAAGATTTCTATTGTGTCATTGATCAAAACGAATGTTTCAAAAGTATACGGACAATATATATACCAAAATGAACAAAAGTCAAAGGATACAGAAAGATCAAGATAGTGTTTAAATCGAAATATTACCGGCTAGTTTTATGACAGCTAAATGTTGCAAGGGACGATTGTTCCATTGAAGTTGGTTGAGGTGCATGCAAATTGATTAAGACACTCACAAACATTAAAAAGATGGACAGAGGTTTGAGGAAAATATAGTTCAGTTAGTCAAAATATTAATAAACTTATTTTAAATGAGTGATTATTTGAATTTACACCTATGTTTGAATTGTAATAAATTTTAACCAAAAGAAGAAAGGAGAATGTATGGTTGCCTTCCCACTTGATTTAATTACTTGATTAATTTGAAAGATGGTTTGGTGTTTTGATGATCCCTACCTTATTGACCGCAACTTCTGTATTTATTATTGTCTTCATTGCTGCTCCTCCAGTAGATATTGATAGTATTCGTGAACCTGTTTCTGGATCTCTACTTTACGGAAACAATATTATTTCTGGTGCCATTATCCCTACTTCTGCAGCTATTGGGTTGCACTTTTACCCGATATGGGAAGCTGCTTCCGTTGATGAATGGTTATACAATGGTGGTCCTTATGAGCTAATTGTTCTACACTTCTTACTTGGTGTAGCATGTTACATGGGTCGAGAGTGGGAACTATTTTGTTTTGGGGAGAGATCCATTTACATAAAATAAGGAAAGTAACGTCAACTCATGGGGAGACAAAATTTTAGGCTTATTTGAAAATATCTAACAAAATATCTAAAATGTGGATATTTATCTCCAATGGAAACTTAGGGGATAATTGATTTAATCATAAAATTTGGATTTAGGTCATTATAGGGTTGAATCGATCGGATTAATCATAAAAATCGGATTTAGGTCATTTTGGAGTTGGGCTAATTTTCTTTTTCTTTAATACTTCATGTTGGAATTTGAAATATTCGTTATATTTATAGTCAATTGTTTAATTTTTTTTAAAAAATATAATGTTACAAAGATAAGAGTGGAGATTCAAACTATCAACGTATAAGGAAAAAAAGTTACGATAAAAATACATTTTTGGTCCATGAGATTGAAATTACTGTTTATTTGACCATTGAAGGTCCATGATCTATGTTTGATCAGAAAAATGATCAACTCCACGAAGTTCGGCTCGAACTAAGAACTGCTCGAGAGATGAGCTGGACGGGTGACCTGCAAAACAGAACACACACCAATGCTAAAGTCAGTAGCTGGCTGAACTAAACTTGAAAGATAATCTAGTATTGGTGCACCTGAAAATGGAGAGAATGAGTCTATTTATAGATGACTTCCCCGACAACATTCCCAACAGTACCTTAACGGCTCTTTAAAGTTGCTGTGAATCCTTACGTGTTATCATGGAGTCTGTCGAAGTCTGGAACTGAGTCGAAGTGAAGCAAGTCAATTCATCTGGATTAATGAGAACATACCTATATGACACTTGGTCGGCTCAGCCACACAAGACGTCAATTCGGATGTATAAAATAGAATTGAGGTAATGAAACTTCAAACTTATGGACAAAGGCCACCTGTACTCCTCATCACCCAATTGACGTGTGTCACGTGTACAGTGAGAATTGCTTCCAATAATCTAATTTGACCGTTAGTTAATTAAGATATAATAGTTAGATTATTATCTGTATTTTGTTGATGGGACAAAATCTCTAGTTCACCTCATCATGGATGGGAAAGAAGGTAGAATGGAGCAAGGTTGAAGAATGGACCGTTTTCCTACGCGGGATTTGGAACCAGATGAACGCTGAGAAAAAAATAATTTTTTTATTTAATTTTCATTTTATTTATGTCCCTAAAAAAATCTCCATAATGTAAAAATTTAATATCATTGTGAAATCTTTCAATTAATAGAAAAAAAAAAGTAACCATACATGTTGACCGATAATTTATTTTACTTATTTCGTTTAAAAATTTGATTGAAATTTGAGATTAAAAAAATGGGATTACGTTGGAGAATCTTTGTATTCCATTTTTGTCCCCCACTTTTTAATATATATCTATTTTATCCTTGAAACTCCTACAGGACACAACAACTATTCGAAGATATCTGTTCAGATAAATTAATCTAAAAGATATGCGACCGTTCGATAAAGTGACGATGCATAGATGTGTGATTGCAAACTACCTATAAAATAAAATAAACTCTTGTATTTTTTTTATTTTACTCAAAACTCATGTTCAAGACACTGAAAAACTTCCTTCACAATTGTGTGGTTGTGCAAAAACAGGTGGCGCAAGTAATTGATAATGATGAAAGAAAATGAAAGTAGTGAGAGTTGTGAAAATAGGAGACTTCCATTAGAGACAAGGAAGACGACGTTGGCGTCATATATCTGTGATGGGAGGTTTATTTTTTTAATTGTTGATCAATTATATATATATAGACTTGAGCCTCTAATGTCCTATTTTAAATGGTTAAGGATGTTTCGGTTCAATTTTATTTGGTTCGTATTGGTCTACGAGATAAGTTTTTTTTTTCATATTTAAAAGTTATGAAATAAGTTTTGATCATATCCCTTCATGAAAGATCTTTTCGTTTATTAAAAAGGGTGAACATCACCAAAAACCTAATACCCTATCATCCTCTCAAACCAAAATCAATAAAAACCCTTTACGTTTGAATAAAAAAAAATGCAAGTCCTAAATCATTTGGATACTTTAATTTATTTTCTAAAACCCTTTATGTTTATTATTCAAACAAAATATTTCATACTAATTATTTACTAATTTATATTCAACATTTTTTACTATTCATATTATATTTCTAAATTTTAATAGATTTACTTTCAATACAACGTTGTCGTTCAAAATTTCTTATACAATGTTATTAACTTCAAATATTTTCTTAAAACAATGTTCCTGATGATGATTTTTTCCTTTTTCAATATGTCGTCATACTAGAAAACTTTGTATACTATGCATATGATTTATTTTTTGTAAAATTTGTAATGATACAATTTTATGGTATTATTAACTTTTTTTTTTCAAATTTGTTTAATATGTTACTTTCCTAGATTGAATATATTATGAATAATATATTGTTAATACTTTTGAAGTATTATAGGAAACAATAATAATAAGAAATTTATAGAAAATAAAAATAAAAATAAAAATAAGAGGCAAATTTTTTTAATAAACTAAAAAATTGACAGAATTTTAAAGTTTAGTTTTTAGAATCTACACAGAGAAAACATTTGTTTTGTGTCATAAATAAGAACAAATTCATAAAATAAAAATAGCATTTTTTTTCAAAAACTAAAGACTTTACATATTTTTAAACATAGAAGGCCAGAAATCTATAGAATAAAAAAAAAATCATTCAATGTTTAATAATAACTACTCCATAACTACTACATAATTCACCAAAGCGAGCATAGCTCCGTGGTAATTGGTGTATACATTTTTGTGTTAGGAAAAAAAAATCACACCTTTTAATTAAGAAAAAATTCAATAATTATATTAAATAATTACTTAATCTAAAATAAAGAAATATTTCCTTAACTTTAATAGTCCATATCATGAAATTACTTTTATAAGTTTTTTTTTTTTAAGAATTCTTAATTTTTATATATATATACACACAGTTTTACCACAAAAATATTATGTTCCAAAATTTATAAACCGCACGAAAATCTAACTAGTCTATAAAAAGGTAAAGGCCAAAAATGATACTTTTGAATTTGGGTGAAGTTATACATTATTGTACGGTTTGGACCTTTCTTTCTAAATGGGTCCTTTTTTAATTTTGAAGGAGAGATCTCAAATGGGTTGTCTTACCAATAAAATGTATTATCATTATTATTATACGACAAATATTATTTTACTTCTTTCATTTTGGTTCATTTACTCTAAAATGTCTATTTTAATTAATGTATTTTTAATTTTATTACTCTATTTTCAAAACGTCTATTTTAATCTGTGTACTTTCAAAAAAGTATCATTTTGATCTATTTATTTTTATTATTATCTCTTTTATTTCAATCATAATAATTTTAGCTTGACACTTCATTCACTAAAGTTTTGAAATGTAATTATAAATTTTTATTAAATAGTTTTCACTGGGTATAAAAATTGTCTTAAAATTTTGCAAATAAGACCAATTAATCGATCACTTTTTAAAAACGATAGGGATCTTGAAAGTATAAGAGCTTAAATTAACAAAAGTTGAAAATACTTGAACCAAAATAAACCAAAGCTAAAAGTATAAAGATTGGTACTTAAACTTTATTATTGTTGTTGATGATGCTAATTTTTTAGCAAACGCCACATAGGTGTCACGGAGGTGTCATTTACGCCTTCATCTTCAAGCTCTAGGCTACCTGTACAGAAAAAATTAGCACTAGTGTGATGCTCTGCTGAATACACTATGAAGCTTAAGTTAGAATTCAAGTTTGGAGTAAACAAGTATGGAGCAAGTAGAGTGGAAAGAGCAATAATCTCGAGAGTGAGAGTCTGCTTAAGATTGTGTGTCGAGTTATCACAAAGAGTCGTGTAGAAAAAATCTACTTGCCTCGATTAGAGTTGTTCCTTTTCTTATATATAGAGTGACTTTAGAAGGTGTGAGGTAGACACAAAAGGCGATAGGCAGTGCCTCGGGGTCGTAGAGATCTGCAACATTCTCCTTCCCCTGTGTACGATAATAGAGGGGCGCGACAATGTCGAGTGCATACCACAATTTGGATAGAGAGTGTCAGCATCCTACCTACAGATTGTCCCTTGTATGAACCACCTAAGCATGCTCAACGTCCTGAATTAGGGCGCATGAGATCGGCCTAGTGCTCTCAACCTTTGCCTAATCCTTGATAACCCGATCCATATGGCTGGGTAGAGTTACGATGTGTGGCGTCTTGGATTCACCTAATAACATAATAATTATTATTGTAATTTTATTTAATTGCAAATTATAGAAGTCACACACGTGTCACGTCAAGTTTATATATATATTGCATGCAAATATTATTAAATCGATCAATGCTAATATGGCTCCGATGGGTTGTGTGTCGTGTCAACTATTTATAAGATATTTTTGTTATATATAATATAAAATTTTCGGCTAAATATATATTTTACTGATTTTTTTAAAATTTTTATAAATGTTTTATAAATATGCAGCCACGTAAACATTTGAACACATTTATTTAGAAATTTTCTCCACATTTATTTAGAAATTTTCTTGAAATTGAGATCTCTACATTTAAAATAATGTATTTGATGTTCTATTCTTAAGAAAATAATAATAATTTAATATACCATTTTAGTCATTTTACAATTAAAGCGAAAATATTAATGAATAAAAATACCTCAGCTACGTTATAGAATTAACATTTCTATAAATTGAAGGGTTCAACCTCCATATATAATAGGATAAATGATAGTTTCAACCCACCAAAAATATCAATAGATTATAAAAAGCATAAAAGATTCACAAATATAAATATAATATACTAAAAATGAAATTTATAACTTATATAAAAATAAAAAAAATTTATTAAAGTAATATTTATAAGTTTCTTAATTTTCCAAAAATATCCATCAAACGAAATTTCATCCACATCTTAGATAAATTCGAGATCAAGCTAATTTTATCCACATATTTGATTGTGACATGCATGACAAATTATATTTGGACCCATCTCAAATAGCATGTCGTGTTTAATAATGAAGTTCAACCTAAAGAAATGGTCAATAATGTGACAAGTCAAATTTGACTTTTCCTAGCTAGGAAAAAAAAATACAATTTTTTTAATATTTATAAATTCAAGTACATACGGACGGTTAATCTCTTTGTAGTGTAGTGAAAAAATATAATGCTAAAAAACGGTGTAATAATTATTCCAAAATTATTTTTAAATTTATTGTCTAAAAGTCTATGTGATTGTCACAAATAAAATAGACATAACTTAGCGATAATTAGTATCTACTCCTTTGTTTGAGGTTAGAAGTTCGAATTCGACCTATTTACCTCCCATTTGTTGTATTGGGTTTTTTTTTTTTTTTAATAATTGTGTATTCAAAGCCGGAGGAAAAATATATGGAAAATTGGTAAATTAAAAACGTAGAAATGAGGTCGTATGTTTAGATATTTTCACTTCGTGTTTACTAAACAAAAACTAAGGGATCCCTATAGATGTGACATGGACATGTTTTAAGACTTCATAAGTCATGTGAAGTATAGATGGGGTAAGGAAGTATTAAGTGACAAAATAACAGTAAAAAAGAAAAATGATCATTTTTTTTAAAAATCACAATAATTCAAATAGGTAGGTTGAAATTTGAATGACCAAAATCATTGATTTTAAAATATTCACAACGCTAAAATAAATTATATTTTAAAATTTTAGAGACCAAAATAAAATATATTTGAAACTTTATGATTAAAAAGTTTGTGTTTGATATGTAAAAATACAAATTTTGAATTAATAAAAATTTGACTCATAAAATAATATTTGAATTTAAAACATCGTGAGTTGGCCTACTAGTCAACAAAAATCCTAGTAAATAGTATAAAATTAGAAGAACTAGCTCAAACTTTAGTGACAAGACAATCTAATATGGTAGACTATTTTTTTTCCTTTTAAACAGAAATGTAAAAGACTCGTATGGCGAGATATAAATAAGAAATAACCATTTAAATTTCCAACCATCAAAATCACTTCTTATATGAATATGAATCTCTTAAATTAATAAAATAAAAAATAAAAAAGAGAGTTTTACAAGATTATAGTTAAATTGTCATGCCCAATGCTCGACCCTCTCATCTCATAGAACATAACACAAAGAAAAAACATAAATTGGATTTTGAATATTAAACAGTCAATTTTGAGAGCTAAAGGACAAACTTCACCTTTTCAAGCGCAACATTTGAATAATCTTCACACACGTAGAGAGAAGTGCAAAATATATTTTGAAGAGATAATTAAGAAAGGAATAATAATATAATGTCACTTACAAATTACAACTATGCTTGCTCTTTCCCAATGATTTTCCTCACATGGGAGGATGCTTGTTATGAAGTGACAACTCATCAACCCTAATAAGATATTTATCATAGAAAAATGTTCGAAAATAAAAAATTATTGTGTTTGTTTTAGATCTATATATATGAATTTGTAATAATATTGATCTAGCATCCTATTTTATTTATGTGCGATATTAAAGTGTTACAAATCAGTCTTTCTTAATTTGGTCGATCAAGATTTGTTGGTCAACCATATTCCACGTGTTAAAAAATTATTAATTGAATTACATTTTGGTCAAGGTACCGAAGAATGGATCTAGCCTGAGATAGCATTTAAATTTTGGTATTTTATCTACCTTTTTGTAGTACAACAAGTAGAGATTGAATCTTCCACCTCAAAAAAAACAAATACAAAAATAAAATAATACGTGTCTTATGCACTAAATTATTTTAAATTAATGTATTTGTTTTACCTATTTATGATTTGTTCAATTTGTTTTAATTGAGATTTTGAATGTCACATCATTATTTATTATAAATAGAAAAATCGAGATTTAAATCTTCAATGCATTCGTTTACTTATGGAAATCAGAGGAAAAAATCAATCATAATAAAAAATGTTTTTTTATTTAATATTGTGTTTATTAGAGATTTTATGGAATTGTAATAGGAGTGATATATATAACAATTACTGCAATACATTTTTCTTATTTCTATATAATTACAAATACATTAACTAAATGTTAAAGCAAGTATAATTGACATATATCAGATTGTGAGTTTAATCTCCCACCCTACGTATTGTACTAAAAAAATACATAAACTAAATAGTGTACTAATATTATTAATAATAGAAATACCACACAAGCTTTCCGCAGATTTAGAAATTCATTTGGGATTATTTTCGCATCTCCTTGACCAAATCCTCCCACATTGTATTATTTTGCTTACTATACCTGCTGCTCTAGCATTATAAACATGCAAAATTATATATTTATAAAAAAATTTATATTTTTTAATCGGATTCTTCCTCTTAAAGTTCAAAATTTTAAATCGGAAAACACTAAAAACATAAAAATATTATTTTTCAAAATTTTCACAGACTGGATTACAGAATTCGAAAAAAGAGAATCTGAATTGTTTACCAAACGTACCCAAAATAATTAATTTATAATTGAGTTTATTAAATAGGATTTAAACGAATAAAAAAAATTCTTGTGCTAATATTCGAGCGCAATAAAATAAGGAGAAGATGGGCCGCTGGGCTGGGCCTAGAGTGATGTCAGGCCCATGGTGTCAGTAGCTCAGGATTTGGGTAGACTTGAACGAGCGGTTCTTAGCCGTTTCTCCCGCCACACTCGGTACACTGCTCTGCTTCCACTTCAATGGCGTCCTTCGTGGCCTCTCCTCCTCCATTCGCTCGCCTCTCTTCTGCTTCGTCTTCTCATCGCCTGGTATCTCTCTCTCTCTCTCTCTCTCTCTCTCTCTCTCTTGTTCTCTATCATTTGCGTATACAATTTATCCAGAATTCTGCTCGGTTTTTGATCTTTTAATTCCTCGTTTTCTGTTTTCTTTTACTTCTTTTGTTGCCGAGATGACCGAGATGACCTAGTTTTTGCATCGGTTAGGCAATTTTGAGTTAACTGGTGTGAAGACCGTTTAATGTCTTAGTATACATTGATGAATTGAGTTGTGCGTTGGTTTTATATTGAGGATTCTACTCGTTTTTTTTTTTAGTGTTTTGGTTCCTGGAATTTTTTTCTTCTTATTTGATTGATTGCCGAGAAACGAGGTTAGCAATTTTGAGTTAACTGGTATGAATATTGTTGAATATGCTGAATCTACAAAGGTGAACTGAACTTTGCGTTTGTTTTCGTTCTAATATAAAAATCAGTCCTCTTTCCAAGCATGGAAAAATAAGATTATGTTTGTGTACATAATCGTGATTGGCTAGTTGATTGTGAACCTATTTCTAATATTCCCCCTCTCTCTACGTGTGTGTGTGTGGGCAAATAATTGAACCAGTTATTATAGGCATGAAATCTTTAATTGGCGTTGTATTATTATTGTTTTCCATCATCCCTTGTTTTAGATTTCAGATTTTCAGAAATCACATAATTGAACGAGTTATTATAGGCATGAATTCTTTAATTGACGTTGTATTATTATTGTTTTCCATCATCCCTTGTTTTAGATTTCAGATTTTCAGAAATGGAACGTTGAAGTTTTCAGGATATGGAATCTCAAAGCGTTTCCATTAACTTCTATGAACGTCAAAAGGAGGTAATAGGTCTGAGGCCAAAGTTTTTACTGGTAGTTGTAATTGTAGTGAAGCACGCTTGTTGGTTCTCTTTAGTTTTTGGAATTGCATTTTTATTCTTTACACACGCTTTCTAATTTTTACTTGTAACGACCTCGTTCTGTATTTGAGTCTGAGAAAGTTAACTAATGGCTTTGCTTTCTCTATCTTCCTCTCAGATTCCTCTACGTTTGTTTTTACTAATTCTATATTCCTCTTCTAATTAATCCTTTGAGTTTCTCCATGGCGGAAAAGCTATTCTCAGTTCAGAGGTGTGTGATAAAGAAAAAGGTATTAGGCTAATATAGGAAAACTACCAGGAGGAAATTGTTTACATATGAAAGGGGGAGCGTTTTGCTGATACGCTGCCTGATTAATGTTAAATCCTCTGATGTGAAGTTTTTTAGGAAGACTGGGCATGGGGAATCCATTGTTCAACCTGCGTTTAGAAACTACCAAAGGGGTTATTTTACAGGGACAACGTCCAGTAGTGACAAGTTAGATTTTTGTTGAGTGTTGGGGATTTTTTCAATTCCTTGATTGCCTCCTGTACGAAATCCTATGATAAGGTAGCATCTAAGGGCCAGAAGATGGAATGAACATTTAGCAAAAGATGGAGACCGAGAGTATAGAAGATTATACGTCTTTGGGGTCAAATGGAAGAAGATAATGGAAGTCACTGGACAATATTTCCATGATGATTGGATGAAGACTCGCTAGATATTTGAGTAGCATTCGCCCTGAATATACGCTCAACTCCATCCAATCTGATAAAGTTCTTCTTTGCTGCAAAATGAGGCAGAATAACAAATCTTTTGTTAGACATGTGGGTACGGATCATTTATATGCCATTATGTTAAATATGGGCGTTGTTTAGAACAACATTTAACACAACATGTCAGAGTCTGAGGAAGTATAAAGGTGGTTAGGAATTAATATTGGTTTACTTTCCGTGGAGGATCTTTGTTACATGTCATAAATGGTAGAAAAGTGGTAAGGCAAGTGCATCCTTTCCTTCATCCCATATTGGTTACCAGTATAGTGCCTGATCTATTGAATTCTCACTGAAATCTGCTTGAGATTTTCACGGTGGATTTTTTTTTTTCTCCTACAGGATATTGACCAGAATAGCTTAGGTAATATCCTCAAGAAATAGACAAAGGAAAAAATAGTTTCAGTAATGACTGGTGAGGTTGCTATGTTTCAAAGCTAGGATATCAAAATAGTAATCTAGTATTAGCTAACCTATCTTCATTCAGAATTCTTGGAGGGGGCGAATGGGCTAGCTGTACACTAGGGCCCATATGAGGTTTTCCTCAGTTCTCTAGTTTGTGAGGGGATTACTCGCTCATATTTTCTTCAAAGGCCTTATTCCTTTTACTTGGAAAAGTAAAATGTAACTTTTAAAAGAGATGATCGTTTCTTGCTGCGAAGACTCCACACTAGCCCTAGCAATCTTAGATCTCCAGGGGAAGTCAAATGAGAAAGAAGGGGCAATTGATAGCCTACACAGTAATATCTAAAACATATAGTTTATCTTAAAACTGATCATCTTCCATTCTTGCTTCCAACTGATGGAACCATCGGAAGTAAATTTGCATGTTTGGATCTAATACAGGAGAACTTTAATATATGCAGTCAATCAAGATGCTGAGGAAGCATTCAAGAAGACTGTAGAAGTAGATAGGCTCATAGATGCCTTACGGAATGCAAGTTCACATGAGGTAAGTGAAATTCCTTGCTGTCTATTGTGGAAGGTTTAAAATCTAAATTCCTTACTGTTTACTATTTATTGATTTGTGATCGTCGTTATTCTAAAGTTCTTTTCTTATATATCTCATTTTTTTTCCCATATCACTCTTCCTTTTTAGTGAGCTATAGAAATAAGCATCATTTTCATAATTGGCCTGGTTGCAACATGACAGTTTATAATCCAGTTAGACCGTGTATGAATTAGATTATCTGTATAATTGGTTGACCTTTTCCTATGGACCACCATATGAGATTTAGAATTCAGCTTATGATATGACAATATTTTTAAATGAGTTTGTTTGTGGACATGAGGCATCCTAATAATGGTGTCTCGCATTGTAAAGTTCTAAATTGTTTTCAACTCTCACCAGTTCTTTTCAAGTGTACGAGGATTTAATGCTAACTATTTACTCTGTTTGTGTGTGTGGACAGCTTCAGAAACTTGTCCTTCAAAATGTCCTTGCTTTCAATGAGGGTTTCTGGATTCGATTAGCAGCAAGAACTGATACATGCAAATCAGAGGATGATAAAGCATGGTTTCAGTTTTTACTCAATTTTTTAAATATAATTACTAGGCATTATTTCTTTTGTTTGAACTCTCACTAGTCCATGCTTTTGTAAGCAATATTTTGTTCTTTTTTTTTTCTCTCTCTCAGAGAGATTACGAGGAATTGGCTGTCTCAGTAATGAGTATAGTGGATCACCTTGTTCACAAAACTAAGGTGCCTCTCTCTCTCTCTCTCTCTCTCTTACACACACATTAAAGAATAGTATTAGATTGCTCGAGTCATCATGTTTATTATTTTCTTGTAATGTCAATTCTACAGGAAAAAATAGAATCAGCTACTGATATTCTCAAGGAGATTCTAAAACCTGTAGTTGACGAAGTGGAAGAGATAACTTGGCCCCCCAGGGATCCTGAGGCTCTTAAGCTAATGGAAAAGGTATGTCTAATATTTGGTACGGTGTGTCCTTATCTCATGACCTTGATTAAGCTTGTATATACTTGCTAACTGTGGAAGGGTTGAATATGGAGCTCCTTGTGAATAGCCTATGGACATTGGTCTGTATCTTGCGCCATCCAGTTTTGCCTACATCAAAATAAACAGTGCCAATAATATTATATACCTTTGAGGATTCTTTTTTATTTTCTTCCTATTGAGATTTAGTTGTCGTAAAGTAAGCTATTAAAATCATGTCCTTTTGGAAAATTTGTCTTGATTGTTATATCAGATTTAGTTTGATCAAATTTTCTTATAGTGTATTTGATGATTAGGAAATAATCCATCGGGAGCAAGAAGGGCAACTAGATGAAGGTTTCCTCGCTGAAGTTAGTGCACAACTACGCCAAGTAAGTTTTTTACATTGTTTTGATTCTCATCTTTATGAAATTTATGAGATAAGATTAGTGTGCCTGAACGCATCATAGCCTTCACTAAGCTGGCATTTAAAATCGAATGCATCTGGTCTTGGAAACCTATTGTTCTGGTACTTGTATGTTTATTTCATTTCAGATGCGCAACCATCATACCAGTACAGAAACATTGTTTATGATTATATAGATGGGATCGCATCCTATGTCATTTCAGACATTGGCTTCTATTTATGCTAATTATTCCGTGCAAAAGACTTGTGATTACATATAATTTGAGGCCACGTCCAACTACAGATGGACTTTTCTTTTGTTTTGTTTTTTCTTTTCCTTTTAATAAAGAACTATAGATGGATTTATTCGCTTTATTTTAATTCTTCACCTTATGTTTAGTTTTTATGAGCATTTGTTCTATGATGCCTTGAATGGTTGATCTTGTTCATTTGGTTCAGGCAAAAGAAGATGGAGACAAGCCAGGGCTAGAGGCTATGTTACAAAAGGTTTTGCAACTCTATGCATCGAGAGTTCTTTCTAAGAGAAGTTATGCAAAGAAAGGTAACCTTTTCCATGGAGACATGTTATTTACCACTGTACCCCAATTACTTCAGTATGATCAAGAAATAACCTGCCCAGGGAACGAGTTTGTATGTGACGTTCTGAGCTTGTCATTGAACACATGCAGTCTTATGGAAAGTGTTGTCACTGATACTTGGTCATCTATAATGCAAGAAGAATGCATATCTATAATGTTAGAAGAATGTATAACTTCAAAAAAGAATAGGTTAGTCTTTTTCTTTTTCTTTTTCTTTTTTTTTTTGATAAACATTTCATTGATGTATGAAATTTACGAAAGGAGGGGAGAGAAGCCCCAGAAAAGAATAGAGTAGTTAGGAAACTAAAAGCAGTGCGAAGTAGAGTTTATTGAAGTGTTAATTATAACACCAATGTTTAGGCATGTAAAAACCCATGGGTTCAACCAACCGGTTAGCAGTTACAACCCAAGTTAAACTACTTGTAAATATCCCTCCGGTTTTTAACCTTTGAGCTATGAAATGTCTTGGGAGATACCAATCCTTAATTTAATGCTCAGTGAATACTAAATCTGGTGAGTGCTAAGTACCTCTGCTTTTAAATATTCTACTTTCATCATTTATATATTGCTTTGGTATTGAAATAATCCGATTTCTATTTGCAGGAGAGGAAGTCTTGAAAGCCGAACTGTTTTTAGAAACCATAATCAAAGGTGTGTAGTATCTTGCATATACATTTTGAGGTTAACATTGAAATGCCTTATTTTGATCTTCTCACTACGTTTACACCAACCATTATCTTTAAGACTCGTCAATTATGCTCAACTCCTAGTTATTAAAAAGGAAAAAGAGTAGCTTTTGCTTGTATTAGTTGAGTTGTATTGTACAGTTGTTGGAGTTGATCAATTTTGCAAGGGGAACAGATTAACGTTAACCTTTCTATGGAGTTGTTTGTTTGTCTATCACTCATCAGATATTCTGCCTCCAACCTTCCATCATCTCCAGCATACCTATCTAACCAATAGAAACATGATGTCTTGCAGCTCCTGAAGAAGAGTGGAACAAGCTTTTGATTAATGGAATGACGATCGGGAATGGTGACGTTTTACCAGATGAACTGGATGGCGTCATTAAGAAACGAATCGAGCGGACTCTAATACGAACAGTAAGGCAGATTTCGGTCTTTTGTTCTCTGTTTCTTTTTTGTTTGATTTATATTTCAATTATATCGTTCATGCTTTTTACACCCGTCATCTTTCTCCATGTCCTCTTTCAGGAGGGAGGATCTTACCAGCAGCGCATTCTCACCGAGTATCTAAAAGGAATCCAATCAAGATCAGACGAGATAGTCCAGTTGCTTCAGGGCAAGACGCAGTAGCTCGAGTTCGAGTTTGCTGTTGTAACAAAAGCAACCATGAAAGTTCTCCATCTACACTCTAAACCTGAACAATTAAAATGAATCATGCAAGCTGCAGCACTCAAAAAGGTACGATCATTGTGTTGTTCTTGTCCTCATTCTTTGTCGTTAATTTTTATAGCCTATTACTTTCATTTATGTTGTTATTATGTTGTTATAAAATGGAAGATACTCAACTAACTTTCTAATAGTTTTTCCATATCATAAACAAGAAATGAATCTTCCCTCCTACCCTCCTACCACGACTATGTGGGTTGTAAGGTTACATATTTTGAAGAGTACATTTCTATTTAAATATTTTTAGGTATCCTCGAGATATATGTGTAGAAGGAAATAATTATTTAAGGATGTTATATCTCGATTTCTAGACTCTTGGATGTCAACTACCTTAGGTTTAACTACTATTTTAGTTACTCAACTTTACGTTCATTTTGATTCATGTACTTTCAAACATTTGTGTGTACTTTTAAAACGTCTTTCAAACATTTGTGTGTAATTTTAAAATGAGATAATATCTTGGGAGGGCTATTTTTAATTCTTAATTTCATAAATGTCTTTAGTTTTCTAAATTTACATTTTTAGATTTTTTCATGTAGGATTTTATTCTAATACCGTTTCTACCCTTATTTATTGCTTTTTATTTTATTATAATTTTAAAATTTAAAAGATTTGAATCCTTAATTTGTTATTATATTCATTTAATTATTGTGGGCCCCGTTCAATTATTCAACCTAAATTCCTCAAATCTCTCACTCAAAAAAGATTTTATTCTCTCACCAATTAAGAACTTCCAAATTTGTGTGCTTCCTTCTCCAACCTTGATTTTTTTTTCCTCCGGCGTCTTCCTTTTTTTCGTGCATACCTTCATCAACGTCGACAACATTGAAGTGCATACCATCTGTGTACTTCTTCAAAGCTTCCATCAACTATCGATTTTTTCCTTCTTCTTTCCATCGAGATCTTCTTCTTTCCGTCGCCGAATAGACTTTCCATTGACCTCGTTCCACGTTTCCGATGTCGTGCAGCGTGCTTCCGTCAACGATGTATTTATTCCTTCAATTTTCGTCGCCGAATAAACTTTCCGTCGATGTCTTTAAACGTTTCCGACGCCGTTCAGCGCGTTCCTCGTCTCCTCATCTTCTGTTTTTACCATTGATACTTATTAGTCTTCAGTTAAGATTGATATATATGGAGATATATTTTATGTATGTGTACAGAAAATGGAAGTTCTAAACGTCTCACAGTCTTAGTATTCCTGATTATATTCGTATATATAGGTATATATTGTATATGTGAATATATCTTATATGTGTATACATATATATAGTTCGGTAGAAATGGTCCTCCATATCATTTGTAATTATTAGTCTTCCGTTAAGATTGGTATATATGGGGATATATTTTGTTTATGTGTATAGAAAATTGAAGTTCTAAATGTCTCATATTCTTAGTATTCCCGATTATATTCGTATATATAGATATATATTGTATATGTGTATATATCTTATATGTGTATATATCTTATAGTTGTATACAAGATATAAACGCATATATCCTATAGTAATGTAGAAAGGGTCCTCTAAAACTGAAGTTTTAAATGTCTCATGGATGAAGCGAAAAAAGTTCTAATCTAATCAATTCAATCCGATTCATATAATTTGGATTAGGTTTGTTTTAAATAAATGAAAATTCTATTGGTTGGTTCAATGATCCACCTAAAATAAATTTAAGTTCAACTGAATCAACTCGAATTTATTATGAATTTTAAAATTGTTTTTTTTACTCACCATATAAATATATTTTAATTTATTTCATTCAATATATTATTTATCATACTACAATTTTTAAAAATAACTTTTTTAAGTTGTTGGAGTAATTTTTCATCACATAAATAAACATTAACTTGAAAATACATAAATTATCGCTGAATTGGGTTTTATTATTATTATTTTTTTGTCTAATAAGTCTTGAATTGGGTTTTATTATTATTTCTTTTTTGTCTAATAAGTCTTTCTTGTCAGTCTGATTTAACATTTACATATCACACTATGTCTATCATTTAAGGATTACGTAACTGTCTAAATTTAGGGAAAATTTATTACTTTCTAAGTTCTAAACTCATGCCAACTTGGTGTTCTAAAGATTTTTTTTTTCATTTTTGTGTACAACATGTTGGGGAGGGGATTCGAACTCATAACCTCTTGGTTGGAGGTCTATACCAATTACCGCTAAGCTATGCTCGCTTTGGCTGCTTGCCGTTCTAAGGTGTTGATATTTAATCGAGAGAAATTTTGATATACAAACAACCTTTTTATATTGTAAGCAATTTTTTACGAGTACCTAAAGTTTTTACAAGTACACTTTTACAACATATTTAATAATTTTAATCCCTATCTCATATAAGCAGGGAGACATTTTTTTAAGGATGAAATTTTGAATTCAACCTTTTTAATGTGAGTTGTTCAAGGTGTATAATATTTATTTCAAACTGTACTTTTAAAAAGTAATTAATTTAATTTATATTTACAAATTTTTACATAAAAATTTAGTCAAAGTGGAAACTCAGTAATATAAATTTATGACTACATTAAAAAAAAGAATGAAGTATCATGATGCTAAAATTGTGACCAAAAGAAATAAGATAAAAATTAAAATTAAAATAATCACTTTTTAAAAGTATATGACCAAAGACTCTTACCTAACCAAAAAATCAAAAATATAAAAACTAAAATAGACATTTGATTTTGAAAATACAAAAAATCAAAATGAACCAAAATCGAAAGTGCAGTATCAAAATAATATTTAATTACGGAACTAAATAAACAGGTATAACCTTGAACTTCTCAAGATGAAGCTTAAAAAATGAAAAAAAAAAAAATCAAACCATTTCGTTGCTAAACCACCTTCGGTTAAGGCTTTGCTTTAGATTGAAGCCATGCATAAACATAACGCAATGAATTATAATTTTGAAGAACAGTAACGCAACACCCAATTCCGCGAAGTAAAAATTAATAATAATAATAATAAAAATCACGTAAATTTAATAAAATGAAAATTTCATCCTCTGAAAATTATGAAATTGAAATTCTGACCCTCTTAAATTAGCAAAATCCTGTCTCGTTTGCACTTTCTTCTTCCTCTCAATTTTACTTGGAGAGATCAAACCGAAGCAGATCCATCATCCATCCGAGTGAGAGATCTCTCAGCCCTTTTCTTCCCATTTTCTCTTCTCCTTTCCGGCCTCGATCTCTCTCTCTATCCCTCCGTTTCCGTAATATGTGCTGCCGGTGATCGGCTGCAATCTTCAGTTTGCTGGATCCCCCTCCATACTCGTCAGATCTGAGGTAACGCTCTTGGTCTCAATGTGGGGATTTCTGTTTGCTGTTTTTTCTTTTGTTGCTGTAGATCCTTACATCTCTTGCCGTCGCTTGTTTTGGGAATGATTTTGCTTCGGGTTTTTATGGAATGGGTCGTGAATTTTACGGGGAAATGCTGGACCTCCCCTCGACTTGAGCTTTTTTGTTTAGTGTAATTTGCATTGAGTGTTACTTAATTGTTTAAGCGATTTTTGATGAAATGGGAAAGTTTGATTCGGCCCATCTGGAGGGTGGAGGTGTTTGGATTTGTAGTTTTGTTGATGATTTTCGGGGAATTGTTTTGTAGAGAGGTTTGGTGTGTTTTTGTGATCGGACAAGATGCTGACGAAGTTCGAGACGAAGAGTAATAGAGTGAAGGGGCTGAGTTTCCATAGTAAGAGGCCTTGGATCCTTGCGAGTCTTCACAGTGGTGTGATCCAGCTATGGGACTACCGGATGGGCACTCTTATTGATAGATTTGACGAACACGATGGGCCTGTTCGTGGTGTTCATTTTCATAAATCTCAGCCTTTGTTTGTTTCCGGAGGTACATATTTGTTGTTTCCGAATCTCCATTCATTTCATTTTTTTATTGAGTTTCTCAAGGACTCTTGGGCCTTTGATAATATAATGAATATCGTATAATCCCACTGTCCCTTGAGGAGATGAGATTCTCTAAATTTCACCTGGATCTAGTGTTGTTTAATAGAAAATTTTGGTCGTGTCTCAGTTGGTCGTTATTGCATTGCATTTTGGTAGATCCCAGTGTGTTCTTTCTAGGGGTTCAGTAATGTGCTCAGTGATACCAGAAAATGCGGATCCTAGCTTAATGTTTGCAGATGCAAGAGAATTGAAGCTCATACATAACCAATTTGACGGTCTGAATTTGTCAATGCCAGAGTAGTATTTGCCAATTAAGGATTACCTTCATGTGTCAGATGTTAAGAGATCTATTCTGAAGCTGCCCTTTTCCCAACATAACATCTTCCTTGGCTGTGAGCAGTGCATATAATATTAATGATATTTTAGGGGAAAAAACATGGTAATCTTTTCCATTAAATCGTATCTTACAGGGTTGTGGGGAGAGATAAGTGAGTATTTGAAATTTTTACTGGGTTATGGTGCGTGTGTGTTTGAGTCATAGCATAATTGGTTCAGTATTTGAGATGCTAACGCAATAATGTTTTTGTTTTATTTTTCTTTGAGTTGTAGCACAAGCATGATTAAGCATTTGCGTAATGGCCAATGTCCTAGAATTTGGTTCAATTGTTTCATTATGTTTTGATTTTTATCCTTAGTTTCATTATATCGTGGCACTTCTGCAATATAGTAACTATGAATTACGCTAATAGCAATATCTCTTCTTGTGAGAATGGAATTTGCCATAAGTTGAAAAAGCTCTCTCTTTCAGGGGATGATTACAAAATTAAAGTCTGGAACTATAAGACACACCGATGCCTGTTTACTCTTCTTGGGCACCTTGATTATATCCGCACTGTGCAATTTCACCATGAGTATCCATGGATTGTGAGTGCCAGTGATGACCAAACGATTCGTATATGGAACTGGCAGTCTCGTACTTGCATTTCTGTGTTGACCGGCCACAATCATTATGTTATGTGTGCTTCATTCCACCCTAAAGATGATCTTGTTGTGTCTGCCTCCCTAGATCAGACTGTTCGTGTTTGGGACATTGGTGCCTTGAGAAAGAAGACAGTGTCCCCTGCAGATGACATTTTGCGGTTGAGTCAGATGAATACAGATCTTTTTGGAGGTGTTGATGCTGTGGTTAAATATGTATTGGAAGGTCATGACCGTGGGGTCAACTGGGCTTCTTTCCATCCAACTCTGCCTTTGATTGTCTCAGGAGCTGATGACCGGCAAGTGAAATTGTGGCGAATGAATGGTAAACTACTTAAAATTTTAGCTTTCATGCATTTACTGTTCTTTC